GGTTGGACAGAGCCCCCAACAGTGACACGTCGCTTAGTGGGCTGTCCGCGTCCGGTTCTCGAGAGGGCGCCGCGGCCGTCGTTTTCCAGGCCTGCGCCCGCCAGGTTTGGGCCCGAGGCCGTGTTCACTGAACCACGTTTTACTAAAGGGGGTCTGTCCGTCCCCGAATGTTGGCCCTCCGATGTGGCGAGCCTCACACAGTGAGGTTGTGCTGCATCGTGCTTCGAACATCCCATGAGCCTGCCGATTCTCGAGGGCCCCATACAGGGTACTCCGCCTTGCGGGGTATTCGCTCGGGGTCACCAAGCCGCTTCGGGGTGTCTTGGTTTTGTCTGCTGAGGTGCGGGAGTCGCGTTGGAAGCATGTGGACGCAGGGGGGATCAAGGAGCGGTCGTGGGCCAGTGCCATATTGAGGACCCTTGCTTTGGGGCGCCAAGAGGCGGCGCGGGAGAAGACGGCACGCACCCTACCCACCCGAGATGTTGCAGAGCTCATCATGCCTTGGATGGTTGAACTTCCGAAGTCCGAGGGCATGCGGTTCAAAGCTGAAGTTGCTAGCTACTGGACTGTAAGGTGCAGCATACGCCAAGAAATAAGAGAGGGCCTGACACGCTCACCTCTGCGAAACGCGGTGGCGGGTTTCAATCAGACGTGGCCTGTGATGCTCGAAGAGGTGCTGCGGCCCACGTTCGAAGCCTTGGGCATGGGCTTCCGGGTCGAGAACTTCGGCGCTGGCGGATGGGGCGAGGCGCCCTTCGCGACGGGGTGTCTCGCAGCGAAAACGAACCACGAGGCGGACGCGTTGACGTGGGAGTGGTGGATGTTCCACGACCCGGCGTGCGAAGGGTACCATTTCCTGCAGGAAGCCTCGGGCATGAAGCGCAGGCCTGTCGTGTTCGCCTTCGCCAACACGGGCCTCGAGTTCGAGAATTGGCTCTCCCTCCAGAAAAAAGAGCGCGAGGAGCTGGGGAAGACAGTGATGCGCTGGGGGGAGCTCGGCCCCAGCAAGCCCTGGCGCAATGCCACTTGGTACGCGTCGGAGGAGTACGTGTCTGCGGTTGAGCTCGAGGTGTGGCGGAAGCAGGTGCAGATGAAAAAGTTGGAGAAGCTGCCCATGCCACGCAGGAGAGAGAAGACCAAGCAGTGGCTGCAGGAGACAAGGGTGGCTGACGACTTCGTACAGGCCGGGCTGGGATTCTACCCCGTGCTCGTCAGCGCGCCCACTCCACTCGTCGCTGAAGACGTTTGGTGGCAGTCCCGGGAGAAAGCGTTAAACTTCAATTGGCACCCAGGCCCCCTTGGCCATCTGTTGATCGCGCACATGATCGGGCATTACATCTTGACCCAGCTTGCCGACATCCTGACCGAGCCGGCGAGCGGACCGCCGCGCATCCTGCGTGGCCCCACAGACGACAATCCGCTCGTGGGCAACGCGGTGGCTCAGCAGAAGGGCCGCTCCTGCGGCACGCTCGCGGCCCTGCAGTGCCTCACGGGGTCAGAGCCGCGGCCCGAGGGCATAGACCTGGCGCTGGCCCTGGCGCCAGAGTCGAGCGGCAGCTGGGAGCGCGTCCTGTCTTGGCACGCCAGGGTGCCGGAGGGGACGGGCATCAGGGACCTGCGCCGCGTAATGGGGGGGGGTCAAAAAAGCAGTGGTGGCGAGGGTGGTCCGAAGATGTACCCAAACGGTACCTAAACGAGCCCCCTGGGGCTCCGGAGGGGCCCGAAAGTGGCACGAAAGGGGATCGGTTCTGACCCCCCCATTTTCAGGAAGGAAAAAAAAAACACTGACACAATTAATCGTCGATCCCCAAGAAAATATGGGAAAATATGGAAACTGGGCGGGAAGACAAACACCCAGAAAATATAGGAAAATATGGGGAATCATTTTATTTGTGTGTATTTATTTGTGTGTCCTTGGGCCCCTTGACATTTATGACCCCCCGATCAAGCCACGCCCAAGGACTTGCGCCGCGTGTACCGCGGCACGAGCGCGAGCGGGGAGCTGGTGCTGCAGGCGGACGTGCCCGGGTCCGTGCCCGAGGCCTTCGCGCTGGTCTGCGAGGCACCTTGCGGCTGGGCATGCCAGGGTGCCAAGGGCTACGTCGCCTCCGTCTCGCAGCGCTGGTGGGGCAAGGGCTTCTCGGGCCGAACGAAAGGGGGGCATAGGGAAAGGGGGGGGTAAGTACGAAATCTGCTGCATGCAGCTGGTTTCGGCCCCGCCGCCGGGCCCCTTCCTCGATGCGTGGCCGCCTCCGGCGCCGGGAGGCGCCGGGGAAATCAGCGACGTGAGCCGATTCTCAAACCCGCTTTATGCTATCCCCCCCTTTCGCCCGGCCCGAGCTTCGGCAACAGCATGATCCAGAGGCGCATGCAGTTCGCTCGCAGGGAAAATGGGTCCTGCTGCCTGACCGAGGCTGAGATGGCTAAGAAGCTCGGGTCCGAAAAAGAGGGGACGCGGCCCGAGGTGAGCGACGTGGCTTTCTCTGTGGACGGCAAAGCCGTGCCCCAGGAGCACCTGGTGGAGCTCCACAAACGCCTCTTTGCGCAGGCTAGTGGCTCGTACTGCCCAGGCTGCAAGGGCGCTGGTGACTTGTGCCAGCCCATCGGCCCGCTCGGGCCTGGGCGCCACCTGGTCGGCCTCCGCGTCGAGCCGCGCACTTTCCAGTCCTCCGACATGGCCGTGGAGGTGCTGCAGCTGCTGCTGGTTGCGGAGGCGCGGTGACCCAGCGCCGTGCGGCTCCGAGCCATCGGCTGGCTCCGCGGCCCTGTCTGGATGCTTCAAGCTCCCAGCTCCCGGCTTCCCCCCGAGGGAGCGGCCGCCACCAGACTCGGACAGTTTTCGACCAAGAGCAGCGGAAAGAGAGAAATATCTCCCCCTCCTCCATCGCCTTCGTCCTTCCTCCTCCTCCTCCTCCTCCTCCTCCTCCTCCTCCTCCTCGTCCTCCTCCTCCTCCTTCTCATCATCATCATCAGCAGCAGCATCATCATCATCATCATCATCATCATCATCATCATCATCATCATCATCATCATCATCATCATCATCAGTATCACAATTGTCATCATCATCATCATCATCATCATCAGCAGCAGCAGCATCATCATCACCACTATCAGCATCCCCATCCTCATCCTAATCCTCATCATCACCACCATCATCAGCATCATCATCATCATAATCATCACCACAATCATCATCAGCAGCATCAGCATCATCATCGTCCTCATCATCATCAGCATCATCACCACTACCACCGAAATCATCATCAGCAACATCATCATCTTCATCATGATCAGCATCGTTATCAACATCATCATCTTCATCATCTGCATCATCATCCTCATCATCATCATCATCATCATCATCATCGTCATCATCATCATCATCATCATCATCATTATCATTGTCATCATCATCATCATCATCATCATCATCATCATCATCATCATCATCATCATCATCATCATCATCAGCCGCATCAGCATTATTCAATCGCTTCGCTCATTCCGCGGGCCCATATTGCGCACCGCTGTCGACTGGCTGATAGGTCGTCGGCAGTGCGGAGCTGCAGGGGGCGGTGTTTTTTTTTCTGAGGCGTTGTGTTCGGCATGTTTGTGTTGAAGCGGCCCCCGTAAAACAGCTTCGTGTCGATTCGTGGCGATCCTCTGAGGAGGTGTCGGGGGAATCGTTGTTTTCACGGGGCTTCTAGGTTGTGCCGTCCTGGGGTGTCCCTGGCGCCCTTGTGGGGGGTCGTTGCTCGTGGATGCTCCTGCGGGGGCCATGAAGACAGTGTGATTGGTGCGATAGTTATGCCTCTCGACGAGAGGGAAAAGAGGAAGACAGAGAGAGAGTGTGTGTGTGTCTGGTAGGAAGGGAGGAGAGAGAGTGTGTGTGTGTCTGGTAGGAAGGGAGGAAAAGGGGGTGGTCGCAGTGCACAGGGCGACAGTGCAGTGGTGAGAAAAGGAGGGGGAAAGCGGCGCAGGATGAGGAGGATAAGAAAATGGAGGAGGCGGGGGAGGGAGTGTGCAGCTTCAGGGGGGCGAAAGTGAGCGACTTCGCCGAGAGCTTGGGAGCCTCTTGGGGCCTCTTGGAGGCCTCTTGGAGGCCTCCTGGGGGCCTCTTGGGGGCCTCTTGGGGTTCCTTGGCGGCGTCTTGTGGGCCCCTGCAGCCTCTTGGGGGGGGCTTTTGGTGACCTCTTGGGTCAGGAGGGGGGGTAGTCGATTGCGCCCCTCCCCTCGGAGGCCACGATCCTCGTGAGAGGTGTCGAAAAATGGCCCGGTCTGGCATCTCTAATCCGAGTGTCCCGGGGGTGTCCCAGGGGTCTCCCGGGGGTCTCCCAGGGTACTTTTCGTCCGGGGACCCCCAGGGGCGGCCCCGCGCGCGCGAACTAGAATATTGTTAACCAGTTACTGTAGATCTTAGCACGGCCTTGGCCCGTTGGGCCGGCGAATTATCGTCATCATCGTCAGCGTCATCAGCATCCTCATTACCATGAGCACCGTCAACATTAGCATGAGTACTCATGGGCATCATCATCATCATCATCATCAGCAGCAGCAGCAGCAGCATCGTCAGTATCATCATCACCATCATCATTGTTATCATCATCGTCATCGTCATCATCGTCATCGTCATCATCATCATCATCATCATCATCATCATCATCATCATCATCATCATCATCATCATCATCATCATCCTGCTCGACCTCCGACCCCCGACTCGTCCTCCGACGCCTTCGCGTCAGGAGGATGAAGGCGGAGGAGAGCGGAGGAGAAAGAGGAGGGCCGAGGAGGAGGAAGGAGGACAATGCTTGACGAGGATGGAGTGGAGGAGGAGGTGGAGCGAGAAGCATCGTCGTGAATGGAAGACGACGAGGGGGAGAGCTCTGACGGGAGCGTTTTACAGAACTCGTGGCCTCAGAAGAGCAGAGCCAGCCAGCCCTCCTTACAAGAGATCGCGGCCTCGGGAACGCGATTCCACGTCTTAGCCTTCAAAGGGTTGCCAAAAAAGGTGGACTGTGCGAAACATGATCGACCCACGAACCCGGAAAGGAATATAGAACTGTAACACATGGCAGCGTTTTCAAAGACACTTGATTGGGTGACGGGCAAATGCAATGCTGAGTGTATCGATCTTGATGTACCCTGCCAAGGGCTGTGCTGTGCTGCGCCGTGCTGAATTGCGATGTGCCATGGCGCGACTGCGCTCTATAGCGTCGTGGATCGAGTCCTCCTTTGCATCCGAGTCCTGACCGAACTGATCTGGATCTTAAGCTCGAGCTGCCTGAACACATAGTAGCTGCCCCAGAGCTAATGGACAGGGGAACATGCCAGGAGGACGCGCCGCGAAACGTCCCAAGGGATGCGCCAGGCGACGTGCCAGGGGACGCGCCATGGGGTCGCACCGTAGGACGTGCCAAGGGGACGCGCTACGGAACGTGCCAATGGATGTGCCACGGGATGTGCCAGGGGACGCGCCACGCGACGTGCCAGGGGGACTCGCCAAGGGACGCCCCACGGAACGTGCCAAGGAACGTGCCAAGTTGCAATGCTGAGTGTATCGATCTTGATGTACCGTGCCGAGGGCTGTGCTGTGCTGCACCGTGCTGAATTGCGATGTGCCATGCCGCGGTTGTGCTCTATAGCGTCGTGGATCGAGTCCTCCTTTGCATCCGAGTCCTGACCGAACTGATCTGGATCTTAAGCTCGAGCTGCCTGAACACATAGTAGCTGCCCCAGAGCTAATTGACAAGGGGAACATGCCAGGAGGACGCGCCGCGAAACGTCCCAAGGGATGCGCCAGGCGACGTGCCAGGGGACGTGCCATGGGGTCGCAACGCGGGACGTGCCAAGGGGACGCGCTACTGAACGTGCTGGGGACAAGCGTTTCGCTCGAGACATCCTATCACAATCATCCGAATTCCTACGCGCGGGACGCGGCACGCGCGAGACATCCTCGGAATTCCTGCGAGCGGGACACGAAAACAAACATTGCGCCTGAGATATCCTCTGAATTCTGGCCCCCCACGAGGCCCCCGCTCGAGACATCCCCCAATTTTGCAAAACCAGCGTTTCGCTCGAGACATCCTCAACAAATTATGAAAAACAAGCGTTTCGCTTGAGAAATCCTGTCAAAACCCAAAGAAATCAAAATTCCTGCGTGCGGGACGCGGCACGCGCGAGACATCCTCGGAATTCCTGCGCGAGGAGCGCTTTTCCGTGTCGCGGTCGGCTCTGCAAAACCAGCGTTTCGCTCGAGACATCCTCAACAAATTCTGAAACCAAGCGTTTCGCTCGAGACATCCCCAACTCTGCAAAACCAGCGTTTCGCTCGAGACATCCTCAACAAATTCTGAAAAACAAGCGTTTCGCTCGAGACATCCTCAAAAATAATTTCGCCGGCCCTACTCCGTGCGTGCCCGCTCGCAAAATAATTTCGCCGGCCCAAGTCGCAGGGGGGCCGGGGGGTTAACCAACTAAAAGAGACCTGGGCCCACGCCCTTTCCGGGAAAAAGACACCACAATAATACACTTGCGAAGGCATGACACATTGGAGTTCTCCCTCTCAGCTGCTAACGCCCCGATCGAATGCGGCACCTCCGACCCGACAGCAGCATTGGCATCCGCGAGCAAGAAAACGAGACGCGCGCGCGCAAGTGCGCCCTGCACGACCGATTCAAAATGAGCCCACTTTTCTTGGATCTCCGAGCGCGGACGTTTCGTGCGAGGGGCATGGCCAACGCAGAACGTGAAGGAAGCATCCTTTATGGCGATATTGACAACGAGCATGGCGGGGTTTGCGAGCACCACTGCGACCTTCTGCGCGCCCCCCAACGAAGGGGCAAAAGGAACGTTACGCCGTGTCCACGGCAAGCATCCGCGGGTGGCGCGATCCGCCCTAGGCCCGTGCGAAACGAGATAATCTTTTATGCGCGCCCATCTTTCCCTTGGCATGCGTGACTCAACCGCCCCAACGTGCCCGGTCGTTGCCCGGCGACTTGAACCGCCAGCAGGCGAGGGCGGCTTTTCGCAGAAAGACCGACCCCCTCAGGTGGCCCGTGGCGCGTGGCCTGCAACGGCAGAACGTTAGCAAGCGCAACGCGAAATCGCGCCTCGCAGTCCAGGACAGGGCCCGGCCTGAGCTTATCCGTCGAGAAGGGCATGTCGCGGGCACCTCCCAAGCGTCGCGACCGCGGCGGGGGCCTCCAAGTGGGGTCGGGGGCATCCGTTGCTAAGACGAGCCTGCCGCCATGGCCCGGGGGAAACTGCGCCCCGTCATCGCTGCCAAGTTTTTCGATCCACGCCTACTCAGCAGCACGCGGGCTCTGGGCCCACGCGCCCCGCGGGCGCGCGACAGGGGGTGGCGCGGCGCCGAGGGTCGCCAATGCAGCGAGTGAACCCGCAAACTCATTCACGGGGTCTCCTTCGTGGCACCTGACGCGCGAAAAGACAGCACCGCGCTCAACCTGGGAGAAAAGCACGAGGGGGCGCACGACGCTGGAATATCCATTGAGGCTAGGTGCATTAGTATTCCCCCCCCTGCTGCCTGCGCAACCAGAAGGCTGTCGATGCGAAACTGGCAAGAAGAGACATTCGCTTGACGCGTCCAAGATAGTACGCAGACGAGAGCGACCACCTTTGACCACCGGCTGCGAAGGGAGGAGGGTATAGCACGACCTAGCACATTTAATTGACTTGCCAGGAAGCCTCCAAGGAAACGACCCCCATCCTCGGCTTCCACCACTACAGCAAATGCCCAAGCGGGGGGGATTGAGACGAACCTCCCGACCCATCAGTATGGATAGTAACCTGACAATTGCTGAACGAACGCCTCCCAGGAGGGAGGGGCCCAGGAAACGAAA